TAGTGGTACCAAGTGGTACTTGAGAAATACCAAGTGGTGCTGAGGAATACCAAGTGGTAATTGCGAAAAGTCCAGGATGAAAAGTCCTGATCTTTCCTGAGAGCCTACAACAACGGCCGCTCGCGTCGCTCCAAGTGAAAACCCACACGCCCGCGTGCGCGGCCGAATAAAAAACGAGAACAAGCGAGGCGCGTCGTCGTAAAAATTGGCCGTCGCACGTTTCGGTGGGATCAAATTGCGAGTAAAAATAATATCCCTTGCAGTGACGGGCGCCATTGGCCGCGAGTCACGGCCTGGCCACAAATCACGCGCCGCTCTGTGCGGAGCAGGCCAAGCAGGCCGAGCAGTAGACTGACTCTGAGTCGTCGCCGCGCCGTCTCTTGCCCTCATGGGGGCGTGCCTTGTAGGTGCGAGGAAGACAGAGCGACGACAACGACCCCCAGAATCAGTCTGCTGTGTGGAGATGGCGACCGGATTGGTTCGCGTGACCGCGCATCCTGCCGCTCCATTGCGTGCCGCCTCTTGCCCCGTCTCTCGCCCCGCCCCGCCTTATTCGCCACAATGGCAATGTTTTGAATGCTGCGACACGGCGTCAAACTGCTGAGCTGTCTCCACGCGGGCACAGACACAGTGGCGTGAATTTCCGATGAAATTGAAACGGTTTAAGTCGATGCGAACCGGTCTGAATTAAGCTCAAGATCCACAATTTTCTTTTTCGCTTGAAATTTCCTTCTGAGTCCGTGCTGGAAACCGTATAGTGAATGTAACATGAAGCCAGAAGATCAAAGAGTCCATGATAATTAGTGTGGGACATGTTCCATCTAGGTTGGCGGCCGTGGGGGCATTTTGGCGGTCGCGCGGGACTCCCCGCCCCGGCCTTGGCGGAGGGCACGGAGACTGTACCACGTGACTCGTCCGGTGGAGCGGCAGCAAGCGGCAGCCTCAAGGTCCGCAGTACCAACATTGTTTGGTCGTTGTCCCCGATAGCGGGCTGCTGGACGACAAATCTGATTGGCAGTCATCCCAGTGGGACACGATCCGGACCGCTATGTGGGCTGTGGGCCGGGCTGGGCCCGCCAGGCCACGGCCTCGAGAGGGCTCCAGACGTAAACAAAACGTGCCGCGATGGAACCAAACACCAACGACTGCCTGCGCCCTGACCCAAATCCGCGAGCCAAGCGATGACGTCACGCCCATTGCTTTTTATACGCCGCCTGAAAAATTAATTTAAATTTGGCGTCACTGGTGACAGCGCGGCCCGCCCTGGGCACAACAGCCAGCTCATTAATTACCAGCCATTGTTCCAAAAGGTGAGCCGCCGCAGTGGCGCCATTTTTATGGCGAAAAAAAATATTCAAAAATAGAAGCCATGGGTCCGAATAACCTCCCCTTCCACTGGATAGAATGTGATTTTTTCACCACCGGCTCTATCTTTACACTGTGACAGATAAAACAAAGAAAAAATGGGGAGATGAATAGTCGCGCTAGGGCGGTTTTTGTTAGATATAATAATTCGGAGTAAAAAAATCTGCTGCTTTACCCGACCGGAAATTAGGCGCACACATTTTGAGACGTACACAACGACGGCTTCCGGTGGAGTGAGCCGCCCGAATGTCGCTGCATCATCAGGCTCGGATTTAGGATAAGCTGATGTGAGCCCGGGGGACTGGAAGAGGGGGAGGGGGCGTCGGCATTTAGAGCGGTGTTGAATAAATCCGCACTCTATTCTGCGCGCGGCCTCCGCGGTCCCTCTTAAACACAGGTTCGGGGATGAATCATCATTTTAACGCACGCCGAAAGAGGGGCAAAAAATAAAAAGGAATGGCACTTGATTCATCCCTAACATAGGCCACAAAGTCAGCGCCTGCTGAAAGTTTATTGGGAAATCCATAGAATCTGGAAAGTAAAAATCAAGTGCTTATGAGAAATATTAAAAGGCCTGTATTTTCATTAAATTTTCACGAAAATTAAAAGTTTCATTCAATAACCCTAGCTTTTGGCAACGCACTGAAGTGGGCAAGGTTTCTTTCGTGTGTACTCTTCGACTCATAGGCCGATGTCGTGGAGGATGTTTTTCTGTCCAAAAGAAAGAACCTTCGGGTGGGATCGACAAAATCCAGACGAAATGCCTGAAGACGCACTTTTGGAGAGTGTAAGAGTGCGCAGCCATTCCTCAATTAGTGCCGGCGAAGGGAAACGGGAGAGAAAAGGGGAGGGGGCGATTACGTCGGTAGGTGTGGGCGCTTGAAAGGCCACAATCCACTGCTGCGCCCCCTCCCCCTCCTCCTGTCCACGTGTGGTCAGCCTCCAGGATTACGTGCGCACGGCGGCCCTTGGGACCCTGGGGGGGCTTTGCAGTGTAGATCTGGATCACGGCCAGCGCTTCGCTCGCTTCGGCCGCTTCGGCCACTTCGGCCTCGGCATCCCCAAACAGAATTTTCCTCCGCTCAGATGGAAAGCTCCGCCGGTGGAGTCCGCGATCCGCGTTCCCGCTGTTCGACATGGAGCACCTCCCCCCCCTTCCCCCCAGCCTCGCCGTGCGGGGCCGGTCCGCGGCCCGAGGTCACCGCCGGCGGGGCACCCCCACCGCCCCGCCTTTAAAACGCCGTTCCAACTTTTCGAAGGCCTTTATAATTTTGGCAGGGAAATGTGGAAAGACTTTTGGGGCCGCTGGCAGTTGATTCTTGGTAACTTTTGGCTGCGCCGCCGGCGGCCGTTCCAAAGTTGACTTGTAATTCCTGCGTGCGTCTCGATCCCTCGCCCCATTTACATAGCGCAAGCAGCGCAAGCTGTTCGTGTGGGAGGGAGAAGGGTGGTGGCTTGAATCGGATTGGCGAGAAGGGACCGGCCAGGACGAAGGGAGAAACGGGGAGCAACAGGATAGGATGACGAAGGCACATGGGACAAACAAGGAGGGAGGATGACCAAAGGTGCAAGAAGGGGGTTTCGACCACAGTCACCGGGAACCACCTAAGAGAGGGGATGGTCGTAAGCGGAACCAACATTAGTGGGCTGCTCTGTAAAGATTGAGGGGGTGCGAAGTTAATTCGCCATTACAGTGAAATATTAGGAGGGTGATGGTGGGATTAGGTTAAGCTCGAGGGGGCGTCTTTTAGGTAAGGTAAACTTGGGAGGTGAGGTAAAGAGATGATAATGGGGAATCTAGGCCAAGTGGCGCCTGTGACGATCTTTAGGAAGGCAGTGCAACATGATCCAAGCACAGCCGGAACACCACGGTGCGCCCGTTGCGTGTCGCCCACCAAGTCGAGAACGCCAATCGGCGTCCAATCCAATCAGGCGCATCACGCATCGTGCAGTGCATGACAGTGTTGTGCACTTTGGCGCAGCCGATTCCGATCGCGAGAACACCGTTTTGCCGGTCGTGCGAATCCTATTCTCGGCACCAGCCGGGTAATCGCGGCATGCATCAGTGGGTGGGCGGGTGCAAAGTAATGAGGCCGGAGTGCACTGCACTGGTAGAACGAAGGCGGAACCTTTCGCTTCATTGGAGCGTAACCCAACGCTTGAAGACATTACGCCCATGTAAGAGGGAATTAGGTGATTAGGAAGCTTGGTTTGACTTACTATGAAAGTGCATGGGTGAACGACTGCATTTTACCAGCGTCCATGTTGATTGGGTGCATACGGCTTCATCAATGCGCGCTGTGTTCCTTTCTCCCAGCGCTGGCGGCGCTCACCCTACCGCGGTGGGACCAACCAACCCGCGGTGGTCAGGGCGCTGAGCCCTTCACTGCGAAGGGCCCAGGGACACGGTCCGGCCCGGGGTCCCGGAAAACCCCTCTGGAAGGGCGCGACGTCGTCCAGGTGCGATCATGGCGCCTATCTATGGCCGGACACGCCCGTAAAGGCCGGCACGGCGACGGAGAGTGAGAGGGCGGAGGAAAAAGTGGAAAGAAGCGAAAGGGAGAGGGAGGGTGTGTGTTTGCATTATGTATAAGGCCGGGTCCATTCCCACTGCAGTCATCGGCTCAACGAGGCCTTTCTGGGCGTCCGGGTGGCCCGGCAGGCCCGGCTGGCTGACCGTGGATGAGGAGTGGCCCGCCGGTCTTAACCTCGGCCCTAAGTGGCGCTCCGTGTCTCGCATTTAGCGCAGCCGGCTCCGTATGATTGCCGAGCGGCCATATTTCCAGGCTATTTATTGGCTTTGAGTGAAGCGAATAAAGCGCAGCGAAGCGGCAAAATGGACAAATGTCGGCTGGACCAATTTAAAGGCGACAGCAGCAGGAACAACAACAACAACAAGAAGAAGGACAGGCGATCGGTTACGGCCGATTGAAACGTCGCCCGGGTCTCTTCGATTGCAGCGAACCCTTTCTGCAAGGCGGTGATTGGGCGATTTCTCAGTGACACCAAAGGAGACGGAGCGTTTTTTGCTGTTGAGTGTGTGTCCGTCCTCCAGTGTGTGCGAGAGTCTGTGAGTGTAATGATGAGACTTGTGCAAGGCCATGACGCCGCTAGCTTGGTGGCGTCGACGGAAAAACGCGCCTCCCCCGAAAAAAAATCAGACCGTTATCCCGCTGAGTCAGAAGGCGGAGACGCAGGCTTACACCTGTCGGCAGCCCCTCGGAAAGCGAAAGTGCGATCCATCCCGCGAAGGCATTTCTTTTTCCGTGGCTGTCGAGAGGGGCAACCCGGCAACAGCGCGCGCCCTTCGTGCGGCGATCCGGCAACGCCAACTCGACAGGTTTTACCTCCGTTTTTGTTTCCTTTTTTGACCGCCAGTCGGTAAGCGTGGCGCCGTAAGCAGCCTTTAGTTTGCAGCGCAAACAGACTTGAAAGGCGCGCCAAAGCGCGTAGTGTTGGCACGCTTGTTGTTCGCCTAGACTTCCGTCCAAGAGCTCCCCCCTCCCCTTCCCCCTCGCGCAAACAAACGAGCGACGTTCTATTGAGTTGCCACTCCACCTTGCGCGCCACCCAAACAGGCCTCGTTAACTGTCTACTTTGTTTCCCGTTTATTTCGCCAGTCAATTCTCACCCACCTTTCGGGATCCTCGCTTCTTTTGTCGCGTCCCTGCTTTTATTCCGTGCACTTCTGCCTTGTTTGTGTGGAACCTCCAATGTCCGCTTCTTTGTTTTCGTTTTGACTCGCCCGTCTTCGCGATGTTCGTCGCCGACTCTCACCATTCCTGCAACAAACAAAACCAAACAGTGAAGAGAACGTCTGGAGCGGAAGCCATTGGTTCACAATTATCAACTTCTTTTAAGTGGGTTAGAGAATCTGGGGGTTACGTTTGGTTTTGGTTTCATATGAGGTAATAAAGTCAAATCGTTTGTACAGTAGAGTCATGGTTATGCGGGCCGCTTGAGAAGTAGCTTAAGGCAGGTGTACCCATGGCACATATTAGCAATTCGATTGTTCATCGAAAGTCAGAATAACAATGCTTGAGCTGCGGTTTGGGTCGGGGGACTTTGCGCAGCCAGTTTACCGGATGCGAGTGGAAGTCAAGGGGCGTGACGTCGCCTGCTTCGTGCCGGCTTCCAATCCCTCCAAGTTGTGCCCCGAGTTGAGTTGCTGTACTGTTTGAATGTTTGACTCGGTCTGCCGCGACAGCGGGGAGAGGGAACAGCAGCGGGACCAGCTGCCGGATGCCAAAGCAGATGGACGCGGTGCGGGGACGCCCCCATGTCCATGCTGCGCTTTCACCGAAAGTTCCTGTAGCGCTGTAGTAGTCGGGACGGGAGGTCAAGAATGCGGCATCAGCTGGTCGAGATAACCGCCCTACCCGCTGCCCACTCCTGCAGTGTGGTGTACTCCCTCTCTCTTGCTCCGACGGCATCCCGGAGGGGTAGGAGAGAGACAGTACGACACCGTCCGGGATCTGCCCGCCGCCGGCGTCCTCGCTCGGACCCTTATCGCAACTCGGAACTACTTTGCAGTTTGTGTGTCGTGCTCATTACAGCCGCTAATTATAGCGTCTTGACTCAAAACCGCCGCTCTTTCGCGCCGTTTTGTTGGAGTGGACGGAGCGTGGGCCAGCCGGGGCACGCCGCCTGTTGGAGCGACAATAATAAATTTGCATGCCCGCCGCGTCCCTCGGCGCCCTTTCGACCTCCGCTTTGAAGGGAGGGCGAACTATCCTCTGGGAGTTGGATGGAAATGACGGTGGCAATATGCGTCCTCTGTGTCTCTCTTGCACTCTAGCGGCGATGCGTGCGGATGCGACAGAGACGGAACGGCGCGCAGAAGAAAGGACAGAGACCTTCCTATGAGGGGCGGGGTCTTAAATTCTACGCCCGACATAGCCCGTCACCATTCCAGTGCTTGATATAATTTTTCAAAACTCGTCACCGTTTTTGGAGTCACCTGAAATCCTCGCCGTTGGACAGGTTTATTGTCCCGCACAGCGGTACGCCTCGACGGTGTGCAGCGTTTTCACCAAAGTTTAACCGAGGCTCTTCCAAAATACCGCGGAAACGGTCTGCGGCGAAGCGCTCTATATTGCAGTGCAGCGCTGCTTGAAAGCGCAGTTCCGCCGCGATGGCCCCGAACAAGTTGATGAGACCGCAGGGACGCCAGGTATGAGTGCGCCGCGCCGCGCGCCGGGTCGCGCCGTCTCTAACCAACCGTGACTTCGCGGCTCGCAAGTTGGCCGGCTTGGCTCCGCAAGACTTCGCCCGGGGCAAAATGTCGCGGTCTGCCCTTTAAAGTCTGGGCTAAGTACATTCTTCTCTAGCCAATAACCCCCCGGGCGGGAATATTGATGAAACAGAAAAAAAGAAGGACGCCCCGCTTTGTAGTTGGACGAGACGGGAAATATTACCCCGCCTTATAAGGTGCCTTATACGTCACCCCGCCCCGGCTGCGCACCACCCCGCCCCGCCCCGCCCTCAGACTGCGCAAAGACTCTTATTACATTCCTGCCGCGCTGCCTCGGGCCCCGCCGGCCCGGCCCTCTTGAGTGTACTCGTCATTTTGCCCGCCCGAATTTATCGCCAGGATGATCGAGACCGTGGACTAAATATTCCAACTCGCCCGGCCGAGCGGAGGGAGCGGCGAGCAGCCGGCGGGAGCACAGCGCCATAACAATCTAGATCCTTGTTTATCCGTCGGAGGTATGACCCAATGACTTTGGGCCGCCCCTCAATGGTGTTTAATCAAGCCGTTTTTCCGCAGTCGTGCACAAGCAGTGGCTTTGTGCCGCTATCCGAGAGAGAGAAAGAGAGGAGTGTCGGGTGGAGAGCGCTAGCGGGAAATGCAGGACGAGAAAGGGAACCGCGTCGGACCTCTGGGGCCGCTCAGTCCGGACTGATCATCCTTCACGGCCACTTGCTCCATTCTCCCTCTCTCTCCCTTATCGCCACACTGTTAAAAAAATTCTGAAAATTCAGACAACTTTTTTCAGACTTGACGTTATGAAACACCAATTAAGACCTTTTTATGAAATTTCATAACTTTTGTCTGAGATGTCAGACAGGGCAGTCTGAGACCGTGCTTGGTCTGAATATTTGTACCCAGTCTGAAATTTCATAATGAGGGAAGTCATAAAATTAAGATTAGGCTGACTAATACAAAACCAGATATACAAAATCAAACGTCGCGCATCAAAGCATTATGATATTGGCAGTTGTTATGTTGAGGGAGCTTGTTGAATGCAAACTGTGGACCAATCACTTCTCAAATGGTTTGGTCCACTTGCTTGCAGCCGCCTGGAGTTACGTTTCAGGGACCTGCCGCTAGGTGGCGCCTGGAGCGCCGCGGCAGATCGCCACTTTGTATTTCCGATTAATGTCATTAAAGTAAATAATTTTTGCAAACAGCATCATCTGTTGCTTTAGTAATTATCAGCTCTAGCCTTTAGCAATAAGTTTGAAACAAAATATTACTCTGAAGTCGATAAAACCGCATTTCAATGTTGGCTCTCGCTGGCGTCTGCGTTCGGTCATTAGGTTGGGTGCCCGCATGATCCTCCGTGATGTTGTGGCACACATGGGTGATTCTATAAGTGATCTCACCCTCGAACGACGAGTGCCTCAGTCTTACTGCGGACCATCTCGTCTGATATTTTTTAAGTAGCGATGGTGTCCATCGTGCGCGGAATCCCGGCGCGCTTTGAAGTTTGCTCTGTCTCTCACAGGAGTAAAATCGTTATCCGTCCAGTAGGTCCGCCCTAACCACCACACTCACCTACTTCACTCAAATTAGTCTGAAAATTCAGAAATTTTTTTTAACAGTGAAGGTCATTCTTACGTGAACCTGTATTATGACGTGGAAACCACCCAGTGTGACCCCATCGAAGGAAAGGAGAACCCGCACAATTGCTGCAGGATGAATTCACACAGTATGTTCTAAAATTTTGGACAAAAAGTATGAATTTTCAGCTACAAAGCAGTGGGAATTTTAAGACTTGGCCATGTCTGAATTTTAAGACTTCATTTTCAGACCAAGACGAGTCTGAAAATTAATAACGAGTTTATGTAAAAGTACTTCACTCAAATTAGTCTGAAAATTCAGAAATTTTTTTTAACAGTGCACACCTCCCGGCTGCATGTGCAGCGGGCCGGGCGCGTTTTTCGGCCAGCGCGTCCAGGCCGCCATAGAGATAGTGTCCCAGTGGTCCACCCTCCCCGCAAAAAGTAGTTGTCAACACGGCCAGGAGGGGCGCTGCGGGCGCGCCATTTTTATTGCGTCGTATCGCTGGCAGCAGGCTCGGGCCGAAACAGCGGTCCGTCCTTCTGTCTTCCTCGCACCCTGCGGGACCCCTGCGGGACCCCTGCGGGACCCCTGCGGGACCCCTGCGGGGCACCACGTGGGTCCGAGAGAGACAGAGCGACGCTGGGCGTGGCAGGCGTGTGCCACATCAGCACGCCGCAACATGGGCCGGTCCGCGCGACGCTGCGTCATGGATAAATCAGAGGGATAGCGCGTTCATGTAAATCTTTGTCGCATCGCATTATGCCCTGATCGGACCCCGGATAAAACGGTTCATAATTTCGGAGCGGCGAGGCGTGCGCTGCGGCCGATGACATGAACGACGCCAAGCGACGAAATACGTGAGAGAAAAAAATTAAACTGAGTAAAAGAAAAGGCGATCTGATGATCGCGCACCGTGTCCAACGTGCCCCGCCCCTGCGTTGCTGCTCACTCGCCTCCTGCCTCCTCCTCTCATTATTTTAAAAACCCTCGTTCTTATCGGCAGCCTCCAGTAATGACTTTATTTTTAAAAACGTGTGTTAATTTTGTTTCGCTTTTTGTCAGGTAAGCGAGCGGGGACAGCGCCGCTGCAGCACAGCCTCGCCTTCCCCATCGCCCCGGGCGGTGAGTGGAAGTTCCTTCCTTTCGTCCAATGATGTTGCGGGAGTGGGCCTGGGCCCCGGCCTGGGCCTCCGCCTGGTCTGGGCCGCGTGGACAGGGGGAGGGAGACAGACAGGCTCTTGTACACTGGGGTGAACAACCGCCCGTCCAGACTAATAGAAACAACTTTTAATCATCATTTTACTCGCATGAAAAGCCTTGTTAGATCTGGCATTAAGTGAATTGCGACTCTCAATCGGGATTTTCAATTATGAACAAATTTCATGTGTCTCTTTAAAGTGGCTGTTGTGGAGATTTGTTCAGAAACACTAGGGTGCAGAGGCCTGGGTTCGGACGCCGGTATATCAGGAGAGTGTCTGCTTCCCTCGGTCTCCAGGATTTTCAGAAATAGCCCACATAAATAGCCTGTCGTCTCCGCGGGAAACAATATCGTGGAAATGCGGCCCACTTGTTTTGTTTTTTCTTTCCTCGTCGTGTACAAGCTCCGCGTGGCGCCGGGCGAACACCATCTTGCATCGGACTCCATTTCGGTCCATTCCAGCGCCCGGGGCGGTCCAGGCCAGAGGCGGCCAGAGGCGGCGGCGGCCCGAGCGAGCCCGTCCGAGATTCGGAAAACACTACTTCCACCCTGTTGCCACGTCGGGCCCCGTCGGCGGCCCGCTTCCGGAATGCAACCTGCTGTCCAATAAAAGGGGGCGAGTTCCGCCAGGCTTCGCCACGCCGTCGCGCCCGACGGTCTGGATCGCTATTTGAATGCCGGCGCGTGGACTTGTCACCGCGCGGCTTGCCGTGGCTTGCCGGGTCTTCTTGCGTCACGCCGCCAACTCCTCGGGGATTCCGGTCACATCGCTAAGTTGCTCCTTCCAGCTAGCT